GTGGAGATCATAATTCCACAGAAGGTACCAGATTTTACTTCGGAGTGATTAAGGTATAAGCTTCCAAGATCGATGGCAGTTTCCTTGCAAAAGCGTCGTCCTGGTTTTGTCACTGTCCCGCCTGGTTCTGTCATGTGTAACATTTTAACTACAAAGTTGAGTTCTTCTTCTTTTTTTTTTTTGTATTAATTGTTCGTTGATATTAAGCTAACTTTACTGGCATCACTTTATGGTTAGGGAGATCAATTTTCAGGCCGTATATGAGGTGTGGCTGATAAATCATGAGACTAATGTCGTTCATTTTTAATGAAGAAAACTCTGCAGCTCACTCTGCGTTCTGGTTTCCTGCCAATCAAAGCCGTGCAGTCTTCTGTTTGTTTGTTTTCTTTTTCCTCTTCTGGAACAGACTTGAAACTGGTTCCCTTAAATGCTGACGTGATTTCGGGGAGGAGGAGGGGGAAATAAGTGGTGCTGGATCATTAGGGAGCGTAGTCCAGTATTATGATTTGTTTCTCAGCCAAAAGCCGCTTCAGTCAGAGCGGCGAGTGTTCTGGCGTAGTGTCCTGAGCATCGATCAAACCGTTTTCTCACAGCTGTGGCCTCTCTCTCTCTCATGATCCTTTCCCACACAGTTTCTCAAACCTGTTTGTTGTAAGACTCGCGTATTGATGGCGACGTGAATCAAAGTTTTCTTCATTAAAACTGACTCGCAGCGTTAGTGTGCATGTGTCACGCCACAACAATCTCCAATGGAGGTATAATAGAAGTGAACACATGCCTTTAGTTCGGAACAGTGAAGGTTTCTTCTGTAGTGATTACAGCCTTGTTATGATGATCGTTACTACTTTACACTGCTTTCTCTAACAAAACCAATTCCTGCTTGTTCACCATTTTGGCTTCGTTTGCCCTCTTTAAAGACGGATTAGTGGGGTGGTCGCACTTGCCTTGTACTTTGCCATTCATGTTTAATTGGGCTTTGTAAAGCCAAGGAATTGGAATGGAGGAATATGAAAAATAGGTGCTCATGTTATCTGAATGTATGTGAATGTGTTTTATTTTGTTGTTTTTTCTTCTGTATTTACTTGATCAAACAGGCCAGGTGTTTCAAAGAGGGAACACAAACAATAAATCACTGATAATAAGTAGAGGGTTTGTCTCAGTTTAATTCACCGACTCGCTCACATTCTGTCCCGTTTTCGTCTTTTCATTTGAAGGATTTAAGGCTTTAATTGGTGAATATCTACTATGAACTTGTAATAATGATTGATGCCTCATGCGCTTTTATTCTGCCCGGGATCCTCTTTATTTGCATCGGTTTTACATTTCAGTCTGAAAACAACCTCTTGGTGGATAACTTTGTTTTCTTTTCAAAGACAGTGTTTTAATAAGAACAGATCTTTGTTGGCATTCCTTTTTGGATTATCGTGGCCTAGAGAGCATCACTGGGAGTCAGCATGGAGATATTTATAAGCCTTAATGTTGCTCCGAAAAAAAGGCGTACACAGTGGTATAAAGTAACTGAGTACATGTACTCTAATTCCAATCCCTCAGTACTTTTTTGAGCTGTTTGTTCTTTGAGTATTCCCACTTCATGCGACTTTACACTTCCACTATAAATGCTTTCTACTCCATTTCTTTGGTAACTTTATTTACTTTATAGATGAAGATTTCTGCACAGAGGATAATACAAGGAGCTTTTAAAACACATGATGAAAGACTAAACCTTAGTTTTCCCCACCAGTGTTTTTCCCATCTAAACATCAAACATGGATCCAATACCTCAGAAAAATCTAATATTTGAGAAAAAATCTTAAAACTAAGAACATGTCAGAATTTCTTTTTTTCTTTTTTCCCCCCTCCCTATAAATCTGTGTATAAAACTGTACATAAAGTAGTTCAAACCACCTCCAGCAACTACAAACAGGAACATGCCTCTTATACACTGATACCTCCATCTGCATTTTGCTCATATTTCTGAATTCCTGCGACATATTAGAAGGATTTTTCCATTGTTAAAACTAAAAACATTTGGTACATTTAACTGTTATATGTGTTGTTAATACTTGGCGGCATTTCTTTCATCATTTAGCTTTTGGGACAGCTTTCCTCTATTAGTTTTGATTTTATTATTACTATTTTGTTAGTTTTAAATTTATTTTTTGGCCTTTTTGCCTTTTTTAAAAATGTGACAGTGCAGTAGAGAGACCGACAGGGCAGCTGGAGAGAAGGACCTACGGAAAAGGATCATGAGTGGGATTTGAACTCATGACCTCCACATCGGGGACTAGAGCCCCTGTACATGGACACCAGCTCAACCAGGTGAGCTGTAGCGGCGGCCATTTTTGATTTTACTATTTGTTCGGATTTGAGCTTGAGATTTTACCAGCTGTGTTAAAATAGCTCCTCACAACCAGGTAGACACGAAGCGACCTCAAACACTAAAAACTACCACAAAGAGACACACAACAACCTCAAAAAGATTAAAACGGCCTTAAAAGGACACTAAGATGAGGAACTCCAGGTGAAGTCTGTGTTTAGTATTTTAAAGGTTTCTCACACCACTGATTGGAGATTATACCATGAAACTGATCTGTTACAGGCTCTCTGCTCTCTATTACTTCCCAGCAGCCTTTGTGAGACGTTTGACCGCGGCGGCAATGAAAGACGACGCAGTCATCGAAATAATGCAAGTTATATTTATTCAGTATTAAAAGTGCAAGATGACCAGCAGAGTAGAAAAAGTGTAAAAGAATATTTACCACACACATGTAGCCGTATGACACGTAAAAAAACAACAACTTCATAAATATACAAATATCTGATCAATAAGCCAGAAATGAACAGAACGGATTTGTCATCATGTTACACGTCATTTGGTTAATAACAATAATAACTGAACCATACGTTATATTAGAAAATAATTTGACATTCACAATAATTGTATATGATTTGTTCTGAAGCAATGTTTGACTTTAAGTCGTGTAACAGTTTGATAGCACAGAAGCCCGTTTGCAGCCATGTAGTGATAGAAGTGTCAGTTTTATGACTAATGTGAAAAGGAGAGAAACAGGAGGGTGATGTTATATACATAAGTCTATACAGTCCTGCTTTATCTACAGTAATACATTCAGCTGATCACTCTATTGTCTAATATTGTTTGTGTGGCAGTTTTGGAATAGAGCAGGAACATCACCCTGTAGGTAGTTCAATAGTCCCCCTGAGTGGCAGGTGGGGGATCAAATGTGATCAAGGAAGGAGGGTTCCACTGCCTGCAGCGGCTCCACGGTTGTGGGCAGAGCAAATAAAGAGTTGATGAGATCTAAGAAGCTGTTGTGTGAGATCTGCAGGCTGACGTTAGCGCTGTGAAGAGATGAAGCTCCCTCCATCTGGGCCAACTCGTGGAAATGTCTGCAGATTAAAGGAACCACCTGCAGGAGTGAAAAGGGAGTTTTTACTGCAGAACAGACGGGAGCTGAACTCTTAATTCTGTACGTATCATTAAGACAGAGCATTACCTTCACTGCAATAAGCTTCTTCTCCAGAGGTTTTCCATCAGGGAACTTCTCTCCGAAGCACATGTTGATGGTGTAGTTGGGAGAGCCGCCGTTGTTCTCTTTAAACTCTCGAAGCTCTGAAACGGAAGGAACCATTTGTTTCTGTGTTAGCCTCATACTGACTTCAAAGTTTAAAAAAAAAAAAAAAAGGAACCGTTACATTCGGTAGTTTCACACGCAAGAGATCCACACCTACCATTCACATACTTCTCAAAGCTCAGGAGCTCTATCGTGGTGTTTTGGGGCAGCTTTGTGGGGTTTGCCTCGGCCTTGCTGGGGTCGCTGGTGCTGGCGAACACATGGCACCGGTCCTGCCTCCAGGCGTAGATACCAGTGTCTCGCACCTCCAGGAGCAGACCTCTCTGGATGCTGTTCAGTATGCGGTTGGTGTACTCGATCTGGTGTAAAGAAGGATGTGATTAGTCGAACCCTTTGTCAGCCAGAGGATGTACAGCAGTTTATTGTATATTGAGTGAATCCCCCCAGCAAGTATTCTGATGTTCATTGTATTGTTGCTGCATGTTGATTTTTTGAGTTTTACCACTTTTATCTGCATTACAGCACTACAGAGAGCTGATAGATCCCGAATTCAAAGCACATTTCATGGGTGCAAAAAAACCCTCTAATCACGAGGTAATTTGTTTACAGGGTGGTGGCACAATGGGAACAGCCTTCTCCCACCAACCAGCACATACACCTCCCAAAGGACGTCATCGCATAACCATAAGTGTGACCTTTATAATTCTACATACTGCATTTAGTTCTCTTTCTTCTTTCCCTTCGACAAGTGTCTTTTTATACGTGTATATTAAAGTAATGAGTAAATACACTGAAACGTATACAGCAGACTGAGCTGGGCGTTTATGTTTGTTTTCTATAATACACTACGAGCAGGTTGCAGGAGGCACATGGCCCCTTGGATTTATTTTGCCCTCTGACTTCCTTGAAACGCCTTGGATTAATCAGTGTTAGGCTGCTGATATTTTAGAGCCAAGGCCATAGAGTCTAATGTGCACAAACCTCAGTCAGATAAAGGATCAGTGAGTCAGGGGGGACTAGGGGATGGCAGGTTAACAAGAGGATGTGTTTTGCCTTTTTGCCCGTAGTGAATTTCTAAATTTTTTGTTGAAAGCCTTGAAAGAGTTGTAGAAGACACTCTTGCAGAATCGGGGAATTCCAGGTTTTCAGAGTTCTTTGTGGAGGAGCAAACTCAAGCTTTTTATTTGTGCTCACATTAACGCATCACATGGCGTTATAAGAAATCTTAAACTAAACTCCGTCTACACTGGCCCCTTTTATTGTTTGTATAAAGCAGTAACTGTTACGGTCACACGGTGTTTTGTCTTTTGCTTGTTCATGCTGAATATCAGTAGGAAACATACTGAATCGAGCTGAATTGGCCAAAGCAAGTGAGATAAACTGTTTGGGGATGAATTTTAGAAGTTTGTCAGTGTTTTATAGTGTTTTTTTTTTCTTATATTAAGTCTCATCAGATGTGCAGCTTGTGTACTGATGTACCTGTTTGTGGTCCAGCAGACCGTCGGTGGAGGGGAAACAGATCTGATGGGCGTTGAGCTCCGGGGCCTCATGGGAGTAGTGGAGCTGGAGCCTGGCAGTGCTCAGCGTCATCTTTAGCATTTCTCTTTTCCTGTAGTGGATGGAGATCTCCAGGTCGTAAATACTCGGCTGCGGGAGTGAGCTGATGTCCGGGGCAGGGTTTGCTGTAAAAAGAAGTCACAATAATCTATAAAAAAAACATGACTTCTTCCTAGGTAATCATTTGCAAACATTTTTTTTCTTTACGGTGCATTCCAATTCACTTGAACTTACCCATGCAGTAGGGCGACTGTTCGGGTAAAAGCTGTGGGAGGTTCTCAGCTGCAGCGGGGTAGTTTTCAAGGACGACTGGGTTGCGCGGGGCATAGTTCTCTGCCCACGTCTGCTCATCTGTTTCACAACAAAGCTCCGGTTAAACTACACTTGACCTTTTTTTATGGACCACGTGTGACTGTAAACAAGTAAAGATGATCATGCTAATTTCTACGGCTACAGCTTTACCTGCTGGACGGCTGTCGAGATCCAAGGCCCTGAAGTTGTTCAGAAGATTGGACTGTTTGGAGGAGGAGAAAAAAAAAAAAAGCATTTTAGCATTAACAAGGTCAGCACACATCACAACAACAATCTTTGTCACATTAAACCAATTAACAGAAGTGAAAGTGCGTTCTAGACAGTGCTGCACCTCGTTTCCTGAGGGGAAGTACTCTGCCGGAGCGAAGATATCTGGAATCATGTCAGAATCCTCCTGAGAGTTCTGTGTTGGCAGACCTTCATAGTTATCTGCAGATAAAGAAAGCAGACCAAATTATTTTGCGTTCAGACTCGAGATGGTTGCCACACTGCTTTACGTTATAACCGTCTTACACTCAGTGTTGATGATCTCATAGATTTTATGAGGGTCGTCCGAATTCTTGGAATTATCTTGCACCATCTTGAAGCGCACAGAAAGGTTGTTCAGGGCACAGCGGAAGTTGGTTTTCCACCTGGCCTTGTCAGTGGGAAACTCGTTAATTTTTCCACTCGCTACTGCCCAGGCCTGTGAACCAAACAGTGAAAGTTACTGTAAGAGCCAAAGAGGAAAAATATACACACTGGAGTATTTTGCATTTTGTAAGACTTTAGATGTGTCTTTATTTAAAATGGAAATATACTTTTTAACTCCACAAAATGTTCCTAACATCAGACGTTCCTCATACTTTACAGACTTTAACCCTCTGAACCTCTCAATCTGCCAACATCAGCTGAGACAGAAGTTGTAAAAACAAACAACAAAAACTCAGGTTTGAATTAATTGTAACGCGCCACCCTTTCACGAACATGAACCATATCTAAGCTTAAAATCGTGATATGTTTACTATTTATTCTGCACGGCTCATTTGAACAAAATAAATCATTTCCGCAAACTAGAGTCTTTAGAAATCAAAAGATTCTGCACGATTCAGCACAACTCTGAAGCCGTTAGTGAGTCAGCTGTAACCGACTGACATGTGGCCACTTTATTTGATGATTCTGCTGAACTGGGCTGAACTGTCGGCTGTATTTACACAGAGCAGAGAGGAGACGAGCATGCAAACAAGTCAAAATGTAAACAGTGAAATATCAATAGTGTGTAGTTGTTGATGTTTTTTTTTCTCTCTCCACGTGGTTATGGCTTTAAAACTGAGCCACGCTGCACAAGAGACATTTTTAACTTCTCCAACTGCGGTTATGTTGTTTCCGTAGACGTGCTGGACTTCACACCGCAGTGAAAAAATGAGCCGACAGTGAGTACAAAGGTGCTCAGAAACTGCCTGGGGTTCAGAGGGTTAAACGTTGTTTACATTCACCACTTGAAGCACACTTTGCGTTCCATTTGAATGATAGATACTGTATAAGAGGCTGCAGCGATGAAAACACTCTGACCCTTAGGTTTAATCAGAAGTACTTTACTCCTGCTTCAGATTTATGACTATGATTACTAAACAAACACTGATGTGGCTACAGCACACCTCCAATTTGCATGTGTTCAAACAAAATTCTTATTTAGGAGAAGATTGCCACACTTTTCAGCTGCTGCTGTTCTCTTGGGAAAAAAAAACACCTGGATGTTTGCTTTAGTATTTAATCCTTCCCTTTTTTTTTTCTATTTACAATGTGATACTGCCACAAGAAAGTGGAAATGTCACCACTTGAACTGGTACACTATAATTGCCTCAGAAACCACCTGGCACCTGCAAAACATCAGCGACCCGGCAATAAGGAAGTAAAGGAATGAACAGCTTTTGTAGGGAGTATTAAGCAGCACGTACTCAATTGTCCCTTTGTAAATTAATAACCGTGACTTCGGCACAAATGTCAACAGTTTTTTTTTTTTACTCACGCTGGTGCTTCAGTGACAAGGCCACTAAACTTACCCGGAATATTTTGCTGTCCTCATCGTTGCAGTCCTTTCTGGAATTGTGCTTCCACGGCACTCTGAACTTGTTTGGACCCACAAAGCACAGGCCAGGATATTGGCCCGTTTCCACTTGCTCTATGAGCCAGCTGGCAAACTGGGGCTTGGGAGGGCTGCAGGGAAACACAGATAGATCAGGGTTGGTCTTTAATGAAACACTTCACAGGAGGAGACAGGGGAAATGGAGACAAGCAGCTTAACCGCATATAAACACACACAAAAAAAAAAACTGCAGTGAAAAGCTACAGCCCAGTGAGCCCGAGGAAGCAGAATCATGCTAAAGCAGTGATCAACAACACTTTAGTGGACTTTTTCAGTGCATAATAGAAAAACAGCTGAATGAATCTACAGAGAAAGTAAGTTCTTAGTCACAATGCACTCCTAACAAAGTGAAGCAGCATTACAATCATGAATTCAGTGTGCAAGGAGGAAAAGAAAACAAAGAATGTGCTTCCTCCTACCTCTGCATCCTACAGCGTTGATTTTACTCTCGGCAGTGCAGCGGATCTGGTCTCTTGCTGCACTCTGGCTGCATTTATAGGAGCCTCACTGCTCAGTGACATCATGCGAGACTTCTAATTTCTCCTCCTCAGTGGGAGGGTGCAGCTGTGTGTGGCAGAGCAGGGTGAGTTTGATTCGTGAACAAGCAGGACCTGACACGTTGACTCGCAGCATTAAAGAGGAAGTCGCGCTGCTCCCGGCTTGACGAATCCAAGACACCCTCTGCAGGCCGGATGCAGGAGGAGTGGAATTTCATGTGCTTGGGAAATGCTAAAGAGAAACTGAAAGCCGTTTTTGCTGATAGTGTTTCATCTCTTTTATTGCATCACTGCGTCATTTGCATTTCATCATCGAGTATTACAGTATTTTTTTTATTGTTATTTTTATTTTTTACAGCATGTTCACCCACTAAAGCAAAGTTATTGCCTCATATTTGGCAGGAAACTCAGTTTGTGTTACATTCGTTTTGTATTTTTAAAAAAAATGCTGTTCAGCTAAACTCTGATTAATAATTAGCTATAAATTGGAAATCAGAAGGATTTTTATCATTGATAAATACTCAAATGGATTTAGGATTTCTCCGAACTTAACTTAGTTTTTTTCGAGACTGGTGCCAAACCCACTGTGTATTTCTTCTTTGAAAACCGGTTCTGCGATGTTGAGTCATGTCTCATGACATGAAATGTTCCACTAGGTGTTTAAAATAGCGTTCACCCATAAAAACAAGAGGGATCAGTACACAATTAAGGCACCATATAGCAGAACAAGCAGGCTTTAGTTTATACTGTTTGCAATGTGATGCAAGAGACTTGTAAAAAAATGTTTAATCTCACTTGTGATTATAAATAGGCAGCTGTAGATATACCCATATTGTGACAAAGGAAGGTTGCATCACGTCACGCCGTCGCATTTTTTCTTTACTCCACATATAGCCTCCTGATGGTTTTCTAAGTATTTTCATCCCAGATGGGTAGAAATTACCCCACCTGTTCTGACACCACCTACTCTTCCAGGCAGAGGTGCTGCTCTCTAAAATAGCATCGCATGAAACCACCGGGTTCCAGTGAACTTAGACGTATGAATGCCAGGTTAATGCCCCGTGATGTGTGTTAGCTTCAAGTGTGTTCATGTGTTTTCTGGGACTTTCAGTGTCAGGGTCCTCGCAGGTGTGGACTGAGAGAGAATATTTATAACCAGACAGTTAGTGAGAGTGCACCAGGGATGTCTCCATGACTTATATTTCAGTCTACGCCGCTGCAAAACCACCACATGGCTGTTCTACTTGAACCCAAACGAGGCAGTATTTCCTCTTTCTACCCTCAGCATTTCACAACTTCTCTAAGAAGGACGGAACTGTAAGAATATTATCACCTTTTCCCTCTTTAGTCTTATCAGGCCTTTTAATCTCAATCACAGTCTAAAGGGTCAAGTTTTCTGAGTTGCACGCTTCTCTTTACCCGCTCCACGTAGTCTGTCTGACCATATCCTCACCACAGACTGTTCGTGATCAACCGATTCACCGTAAAGGCGCCTTAGTGTATCACGGTTTATGGAATATTGCTCACACGCGCATAGCCCGGCTTATGTCTCAGGAATAGGGAAGCGATACAGGCTCTAGTGGACCACTTCCCTTTTCCTCCAGTCCTCGTGGACGGCCCCCCGGTAGAAAAAAGCTAAACGGCAGCTACCGAGGAGGCATCTAGCCTCGTCACAGGGAGACCGCACAGAAGGTTCACATCCTATTTCACCGTGTTATTCGTAATGCAGGGCCAATATTAGCAGCATCGAGTTGTCCCCGAAGTATTTTGTGGTGGAACACAGCAGCAGAACCTTCCTACGTTTGACAAATCTCCTTTTGTAGCAACACGGTGTACAAGGCGGATAACGGGCCTCGGGCTCACCACACAACACATATTTGAGACGTCTTTTTGAAGATGAACTTGAAACTAAACCTTTCTTTAAGGGGGATTTTCACAGGGAATCCTGGCTCGGTTCTTCCTCCTCATTCATCTCTCTGTCTTTTTATCTTGCTATTTTTTTATTTTTATTTTTAAAGCTTACTTTGTTTTAACGCAAAGACAGTTTATCTCACACGTGTGTTAAAAAGAAGCACTGCTGACTTGATGCATTGTGAAAAAAAACCCTGAAATGTTGTTTGTTTTGTCACCCGGGTTCTTGAGAACCTGTCGCCTTCTGATGAAGGAGCCGCACCTTTATCCGAGAATAAGACACAGGTTTACATTCTTATGTATAGTGGGTGTGTTTGTATTCTGGAATGTGGTTTTGACTGAGATATAAACAGTATTTGTTAATTGGAGCAGGAATGTTTTAGTGATACTTGTTTTTTTTTTATCATGTTGCAATGCAATATGTAAATATGTATATATATACATAGTCTGGGCTAACTTCAGCTGTAGGTTTTTGAGTATTTGCAGATCAGCCACAGACTTCCCATGCCAGCATTAAAGACTACCCACATGTCATTCTTGATGAACTGATAAAAATCTCTAAATAAGTGTGTCTTCTGAGTTGTTGTCCAGCTAGAAGTCAGAAGCATTTTTTTCCTGCTCTAGAGTTTACAGTAAGTTGCTTCCATCTGCAATTTCACAATTTCTGGCCCCAGTCACTGCTTTGTATTCGGACGTGACTCTGTCTCTTAGTCAAAAAAGAACCCAAAACATTAAAAACCTGCAAGTTCCAACAAGTGCTCACCTGAAAATGAAACAAAATTCTTTAATAAAACAGTTGCCAGAATGAGTAAACGTGTCGTTTGCCATGACGAGAACACAACAATGCAGCTTACAGTTTATTTTCACCCAGACTTCCTCAGTGGTTATCACAGTGCATTGCTCAGATGTAACATGCGGGTTGGTGCTACTGTAAGATATTATCTACATGAAGTGGTTTAGAGGAGGTTTGACTCGACGCCCCCTGCTGTTGACAGTGATAGGCCGGGCAGAAGGAGGGAGAGAAAGGGGGGGAAACCCAAGAAGATGAAAACGGGGATTGCCATAAGAAGCATTGTTACTCAGAGAAGCGTGAAAATATGCCAATGCATGTCTACTGTACCGTACAGCTGAGTTATATTACAAAGGGAGCTGGCACAGAGAGAAAATTGACTCTCTTGTTACAGCATTCACTATCAAAATGTGTGTGTTTTGCATCTGGGCTCGGAAAAAGAAGAATGGATTCAATAAGTATGACGTTTAGCTGTTTGTTCAGGTGTGGAAACAAAACTTGGGGGAATAACCGAGGGCTGGTATTGTTCCCCTGGCATCTGCGGGCAGATTTAAAATACTCATATGAGCTGTGTGATTTGAAGCGTGGAAAATAAGCCTCGCTTTGATTTGTATTTTATACACACTTTAAGATTGTTGGCATACCTGTAATGTCCTTTGAGGCAGAAATGACCCAGAGTGATTGTTTAATATCGGCGTGCTTGAGTGAACATCTGAAGATTTGATCTGTTTAATTGTCAAGTATGTTTTTACATATGAGGAATCTGACTTGGTGGCACTTTTTTTTTAAAAATATAGAAAGATTTTTAAAAAGCACTTCAAGTCAGTTAAACAGCAAGTGAAGCAAATCCAGGGTATTATAAAGATAACAGAAGAAATGTACAATGTGCAGGAGTGTGCAGAATAACAGTATGTAATGTAAACAGCTTGAGATGTACTAAAGATAGTAGCAACCGTGTTTAACTAAAAGGCATTTAATTTAACGATGACTCAGCGTCTCTGAGAGGTCAGAGTGATTGTGAAAAACTTTGTGATGTTTTGCAAACTTCCATGTGCTAGAAATAATTCACATCAAGAACAATAGCTGTCAGGGAATCCCCCCTTTTCCTGTGACAAAACACAAGAAGAGCAAAGCTGAGTTAAATGAGGTAGTTGCCATTTTTCACCGCCAGAGGCCGCAAGTGTCCAGTTTTTTTTTTTATTATTATCATTTTAAGAGCAACGGTCCTTATGTTTCTCTGCTGACTTGTCACAGTTAGTTTGCTGGTAAGAAACGTACACAAACGTCCGACGGGCGTGTTCCGATGTCTGAATGTAACTGAAACACGATGAAACTAAAACTTTTCGACTTACAAAACACACGAGTGAAGGATGGACTCTGTTGTGTTTGACTGTCCAGGCTGATGTGGTGCTGAAACGGTGCGTCAGTGCGCAAAGCTTCGACTTCGTGGTTCCCAAGAGGGCAAAAATAGTAAATACATATGTGTATATAACACAAGAGGAATTGTTTTATAGGCTTTTGAGAGCTGCTTTAACTTTCCAGAAACAACCTGTCGATCAAGTGGCGTCCAGAGTGGACGTGCAGCGCGCAGAGCCGCAGCAGCAGCAGCAGCGGCGGTGGTGGTGGTGGTGGTGGTGGTGGTGTGCGCTCTCGGACGCCCACGGATCATAATCACGATGTTTACTTTGCATGAATCGACTCCCTACGCGAGCTTTATAATTGCCAATTATTGTGCTCGGAGACACGCTTGCAATTTATTTTGCTCTGTAAAGCTTGTAGCCCGGATACAGCGGAGAGCGTCCTTGGTATTTGCGAATGTGAAAGAGCTGGAGGAGAAAGATGGCCGAGGGGGGAAGACTGATAATTTGAAGACTTGCCAGGGGTACATTGTCAAATTCAAAAGGCATTTCAAAGAAGCAAACCATTCACTTTTTTTCATTCTCTCTCTTCTTCTTTTTCTTCTTCTGTCTCTGTCTTTTTTCTTTCCTTCTTCTTCTTCGTCTTCTCCTTTTCTTTTCTTTTCGCACGGTTGCAGGCCGTTTGAATCGACCAATGGGCCTTCAAGTTAGAGACATTGGAATGTAAATGAGCCCAGCGCGTGCTCCCGGCGCAGTGAAAGCTCGGGATTGTTTATTGAGCTCCCGGAGCCACGCGCCTGGCCCGGGGGAGTCGGCGTGCAGAAGAATCACACAGCGGGGGCGGGGCCTCGCCACGAAGCGTGCGTCCTCCGAAAAGGGGGTGGGTGGGGTGTGTGTTGGGGGCGCGTGTTGAAAAAGAGGAGTGCTGCCAAAGTTTGGGTCAGATC